ATACACTGGAACAGTCGCATTTTCTGGAACTGAAAATTTTTATCTGCTGCGAGAGCCGGGATCGAACACGGGTCTCTCGCGCGAAGGCTTCGGGTTCCGCCACTGAGCCACAGGGAGAACTACATCAACACAAGCAGATAAGAGAGTGTCATCACAGTTTTGTGTGTGTCAGCGTTTGTATGCAGGTGTGCGTGTTATACAACAGGCTCATTGCTGCAATAATGACATTTTCAGCCGCTCAAACTAGGAGCTGAGAAATGTTTGAGAAATGGAGATTAGTCCGGCCTCGGCGGGGACTAAAAACACACTCTTTTCTCATTTGCCGGTGACTCACGCCCATGGGGGGCGGGGTAGATTTCTTATAACGTAAAGAAAGCTAGCCGCGGTTTTAGGGCTCGCGGTCTTGATGCTGGCCCGTTTCCCTGACGACTCACGGACAGAAGGGGGAGGTCCACAGAGCTTGCCTGTTGCGCGCGCGCCTACCAGTCGAGGCGGATGCTTTCCACGGCCTGAGAGAGCAGACGCATCAGCTCAGTCTCAATGCCGGCTCTCTTACCAGTGGTTTGGCGGGAAACGCTAGCGGAGGGGAGGTCCACGGAGTTCGCCCAATCCTCGCTATCAGATGCCAGAAGAGAACACGCCTCGGTGGGTTCGTCGAACTCGTGGACGGACGCGGCGGCAGGCGGCGGCCGGTGTCCGTCAGTGAGCGACTCGAGCGAAGCCGGCGAAGCTGGCGGGCGAACCGGCGAGCTTTGGCGGTCTGGAGAGAGCTCGGGAGCGCGCTGGGCGCGGCGCTTCTTGCGCCGCGGCACCACTGCGGGCTGTGGTGAAGGCTCGGAAAATGATGCCAGGCGAGTCCTCAGAGTCACCATAGGCAAAAGCTTGCAATGAGGGCATCCGCCGTCAGCGAGCGCGATGGCCGCGTGATCCTCACCCAGGCAGGACACACAGATGACGTGACGGTCCCCGTCGCTGAGCGGGGCGCGGCACGAGCCACAGGATGGCATCTTTAAAAAGACGCAGCTCTTTTGTGATGAGAAGTGTGAGTCGCGTCAAGTAAGCGAGCAAACACTCTCAGCAGAGTAAGGATACAAAGTGATATAAAAGGATATAGAACGCCGGAAAGTGCAGCAGGTACGGCAGTTGAAGGCGGCGAGGCCAGCGACTCCAGAGCTCGTCCCGCTGAAAAGCTTGCTTCGACGGCGCGGCTTCTACCTCCGGATCCAGCGATGCGTGTGCTTCGCTGAAGAGATGAAAATCAGCTTGTACCAGCCTAACGAGCATATTTATAGAGTGAGACCACGCCCTTTCTGGCGGGACGTGACGATATGGGCGCGAGTTGCCCCCATTGGTCATTACGTCACGCAGAGTCTCTCTCGATAGGCTGCTGCATTTGCCGCAAGAGCAGCCAATAGCCGCGCGAGCTGTCTCGCCTGTGTCTGCTTGCTGCTGCAAAGCGTTTTACATTAATAAAAAATTAAGGATAATTTTTGGCTTCAATATCTCGTGGAAAAGAGGTTTTCCCCTAGCGTAAGCTATTACGCAGTACGAGAGATACTCTCGTAAGAGAACTGACGTAGTCTGTTCAATTTCAGAAGAATCTGTTTTTTTGTTCATGAGCCAAACTAAATTTGGAGCACCACCGAGTAAGTCATCTCGTTCATTAATGAGGATCCACTTACCTACTGGTTGCGTTACAAAATGACTAATATGATCGTACACATTTAAACTAAAGAAACTCTTATTTTTTTAGGCTAGTGTCTATGTTAGAACCATGTCTTTTGTTTGCTAAATTATGCAGTTAATGAAAAATAGAAGAATACATAATATATTTGCTCTGTTGACATTTGTGGGAAATGATTATGATGTTTAAAAACTGTTTCTGGAGTTTAGTAGTTTACATGCATAATATGTATTGCAAGGCTGGTTGTGGTTGTGACAAATGACTCATGAACATGAAAAGACTTGCAACCACCTACTGACGTAATGATAACCTGAAGGGTAACTGAATGAGTCTTGATTCAAAATAGTTATTCAACACTAAATCCATTTTAATCATTTCTGATTTTAAACAGCCAAAAGAGACAACTGTAAATATATATTTATTGCTAAAATATTGACAATATATATATTTTTTTACATTTTAGTGTTTCACAATGCGACCTGCAAGGCTACTTAATCAATTAGCGTTGCTACTGATTTAAAAATATAGTGATTCCATTACATCTAGTAAAATAAGTGGGTTTTTTTTTTTTACATATTTAAAAAAAAATACGTCAAACATGTTGTAATTACACGTTCAACAAGCATATGAAGGCTTTTTACAGTTCAGAATCGGTTCGGTAATTACAACATGGCTTGAACCCATTTCAACACAGCCTATGTGTTACATCTGGTTACAAGCCAGATGTAGAACTGTGAAATATTGGGGGAAGAAAGCTGGCAGAACAACTATTCACACTTTGTGAACTGGCATAATGGGGAATAAAGCAACAATATGTCTAAAATACTGAACGAATAGGCTTCATGTACTGGTAAACATGTTAATGTTAACCTTTGAGTTTGTGTACTGGTTGCTCAAACATAAAACAGCGGAAACATTAAAGTCACCATGAATTCAGAATGGACAATTCCTATTTTTATATTATATAGAATATTGCAGTATTTGTTATAATGGATTTATCGGTGCTCATAATTATTTTGTTTTAATTCATGTGCCCTCATAATTTTTGGAAATGTTGTTGGAAATACCGGTTAACGTGGTTTTTTTTTTTGTTTTTTTTTTTTTTCTTGACATTTTGTGACTTTTTCTCATTATGGTCAGAAACAAGTGACCTGCAAAGTTCAACACGCTGATGTGTTTTGACATATACACATAATTTATATTACGTTTGTGGTGTTCATGGGTCAAATTGACCCACATAATTGAATGGTTTGAGGCAACTGTACAGACCAAAAATAATAACATTTCTTGTTTTTTAGTTTTTTACTACCATATGAAGCTACAAAGGAGCCATTTGCCACTGATTTCAATACGTAAAAAGTTTGTTAGTCACAGATGGTAAAAATTTGCTATCATTTTTTTTTCCTAACTATCTGAAATACTTTTGAACCTATGTTGCTTTTCTTGAAATTGTGTGATTTTTTCATATTTAGGGCCATGAACATGCTTGCAAAGTTTCAACACACAGATGTAGTGAAATGTGCATTGAGACATTTTTATACAATCTTGATGTTCATCAATTTGACCCATATAGGCAGCAAGTCAAAAGCAATTGTACAGTCACAAAATATCATTTCTTTGTTGTATGTCAGAGCTCTTCAACTCAGCTCAGTGCCTGTGTCTTGCTGAGTTTCACAACTTTAAGTTTTTGAAAACAAAACTGTTTTACCTATTGAACTGTCAGTCCCACTTTTTGAGCATAGACATGAAAATGACTTAAAAATCTTGAATACTTCGGAGCACAGACTTAAGTTTGGTATCTTTTCAAAGGTGAAACATCACAGATTATTAAAAAACAGTTAAAAAAGTGAAGTTATAAAAAGTTATAGAATTTTAAGTGTATGAAAATGTAAAATATAAAAACAAATATATTTTTATGTTTGATATAAAATATATATTTTACAAAGCATTTTTTTTTTTGGTTGACTCTGGTTGACTCTGAATCTAATAAAAACAAAGCCAAACATCTGAACAAGTTCTGTGCCAAATTTTAGGTTGATATGATGAAATTAGCTTTTAGGTAAGATGTTTTGGGTGACGTACCAAACTTTTCCAGATGACATTCAGGCTCCACTGGTGACCATATAAGGACTCTTTGATTTCCATATATGGTTTGAGTGATCTGGAACCATATATTTCCATAATTTTCTAAATATTTATGAAGTAGACATCCTATTCAGAAGTAGTTTGGGCAGTAATGTTAAAATTTGATTTGAATTCAATCTCTAAAACACATATAAACATACGTAAAGAACCAGAATGTGGGTTTGGCACCATATCAGAAATGGTTAATCTATCGCTATTTATCTATTGCTTTGTCATTTCTTTTGAAAAAAATCCCCACATATGAAAACTAGAGTCAGAGAGCTTTCAAATGATATATAGTTTGTCAAGATTGCATTAGATGTACACTAAGATATTATAGTTATAAATGTGCAATCGCAAATGTCCCACATGTGGGGGGGGGGGGGGGGGGGGGGTTCTTTTCATAGTGTGATTTTTGGGGAATTGTATTGAATCCAATTAGGGTCAATTTGACCTGATCCAACAAGGACGTACCCAGAAATCGAACAGTGCACAAGGGTTAATCAAAATAACTCCCTTTCCCTCTTGCAACAACATCTCTTTTTGCTTCTCTGAGGTTCTCAGTGTCAACTGTCACAACCTGTCACTCACACGAGATCACAGCAATAGTAAACCACAATATGAAGAATATGAGAATGGTGACACTTTCACCAGTGAGTGCAGCTTTGCTTATTATTATGCAAACTAATGAACACAATAAAACCAGCCAGATCGGATCTTGCTGGATCTTGCACAGAAGAAAATGTAAAACAATGTGCTAAAGATAGTGTCCGGTTCCCCGAAAATGATGTTGAGCAGATGAAAGATCTATAGAAGTAACTCATTGTGATATTCATCATGATATTCAGCACCTGAGGGGAGCCAGCCAATCCTAGTTCTTGTCAAACATGTAATTCATACAAAAGTACAACACTCCCGAAACATCAATCCCTATTCATTTGAGATTCATGGAATCTTTCCCCCCAGCATTTACAACTATCCTGTATAAATCATTCATCCGAAAATGCTGACTGCGTGAGGGAGAACCAGGATTTGAACTGATATATGATACAGAAAAGGCCTATCCATAAATGTCAATAATACACTCTATACGAATCCACTCTTTACAGTCAGTATGGTGTGGGTGAAACTTGTGCAGGTGTCAGGTTTCATGAGGAACGTCAGCCAATGAGACATTCACATCACAGCCCTGTCAAACGCACACACGGGTTAAGACAGTCAGGAAGTTCCCATTCTGCCAGGAAGGTTGACAAAGGAGCTCATGTAAGAATAGAGCCAGTCATAAGCGCTTGTGAACGATACCTGCAGTGGACTAACATTTGGTGAGTGGGACTTTTTTCTTCACTGATTCTAAAAGCACTGCAGGAGTGAATGACTGCAAAGTAAGGAGGGGTTTTCATTTCTCTTCAATAAAACATTTAGGTTAGCTACCTCAGGAATATGAAAAAGCGGTATATCTTTAATGAAAATGATTCTTTTTCAAATGCACACTTCTATGATATGCAATACAGAGTAAATGAAATAGCAGCAAGCTACAAGACTAATAATTGTTTGACAGCATGTTTATACTGCAGATTCATTTACTTTGCAGGGACCTGTAGATGCTCAAAGCACGGCATAACTCATCATCACACACCAGGTTATATATTAAAGGATAATCAGGCGACATGACGGCTCAAAGAAAGACATCTTTGTTCACAACTCTCAGTTAAAATTAGTCAGACGTCACATTGCTGACAGTCATCAATTAAGGCAGTGGCCTCTGTGACTGTAAACAGAACATGTTGCCACTTGTGTTCTGTGTCCAAACAATTGCATCAAACATGGAGGTCAGTATCAGCTAACCAGTCTAGTTTTTAACTTGTGTTTTGCATGTTGCATGAATTTGGCTGTCAAAGACTAATAAATTATGCATCTATGAAAAAACAACAAGAATGGGAACTTATGTCATCTACAAAACAGGAACAGTTGCATCCTTTTTTTTAAATCCATTCCTTTAAATTCTCTGTAGCCTAAAGAGGGTTTTAGTTTCCACTGAACAGTAGTTGTGTTGCAACTCCAAAACTTCAGTACCTGTGTGTGGTTGGGATGTAAATTGCGGACTGCTTGATTTCACAGCGAAGCATTGACAATCTCTTGTTTAAAGAGGTCAAAACAATGAAACTGTCAACTTTTAGCACACTTTTTGGATTTCAACACCGGAACATTTTAAAGAAGGTCTTGAGGCGCACTGTCAGCTAGGCATCAAGACGTTACACTTTTATCAACACGCAAAGTGTTGTTTGCCACACGCATATGCATGCACATTTCAGCAATGCCTCATACGGGTATAACATTTACTAGCAATTGTGTGTTTATTATTAGGATCATTTAATATTATGCATGCATCCTTTTGACAGAAGGAATAATTTCAGGTCAAACTGGGAACAGGAACGGCTCGTGATACTCTGGTCTGCGTTCGGTTTCCAAACTTTTGATGCATGGAACTTATTTTGACTCGTTTTGTCAGCGCATCATCAAGCATGTTTTATTTTTGATACAGCGGAACATTTGAAGCTTTTATGTTTTCATTCAGCTGCTGAACTTCACTCCCCCACATAAGACTCACTTTTATCTTCTGCTGTTGCAGGTGAAGTGAAACTCTGTGCACGTGAGCTCCAATCTGAAACTAGTGCCGTCGATGCCATGTCGTAATTACCGTAATTTCGAGATGACAACGCTGCATTCACGCCATGTCGTAATTACCATAAGTAAAGCTCCGTATGCTTTCGAATCGCTCTTGCGGTACTTTGATTTCATACGCACACGTTAAATCTGCAGTGGTCAGGTGGTACAGTGGCCACATGGTACAAGATGTTGTTTTCAGAAAATTACGAGTTTACATGTTCTAATTACAAGTTCTACAAGTTTCTTTTTACAGTTCAGAATCGGTTCGGTAATTACAACATGGCATGAACACATCTCAACACGTAACGTACTTAGAGCTGTTCACGTCCTCGGACTGGAAATTATGCGTTTTCTATGTCAACATATTAATGCCTAAATTATGTGCAGTGGTCAGGTGGTACAAATAAGAAAATTCCCAGCTTACAGGCTGTAATTACGAGCTCTATGAGGATGTGAACACTTTTTACAAGTTCTTGTAATTACGCAATTACGACATGGGGTAAACGCACCTTAGCTTTGGCGCGCTGCAGTAGCAAAGCTGACCGCTCCTTTGGCTCGTTGTTATTTAAAATCGGACAATTAAATTGATTGACATTTAAAGATTTGAAAACATTTGTATTGTTGTTATTATTGCAAACAATACTTTGTTGCAATGGCGCGCTGAAAAATCTTAGCTATATACGCCACAGATTATAATGGAAGTGTTCTGGTTTCGTGGCGTTTGGTACAAATCGTACCAAATAAGTTTACAAATGTGTTGCGTAGTCGAAATACAGTCTTATCATGTCTGTCCAAGTGTTCATGGCACACTTCATAAACAAATATAAACCTCTGGGATCGCAAGTTTAATCACAGATAATTACTTGACATTTCTAGTTTATTCCAATAAAAAGGTTGATAACAAACAGCTTTATTATAATTACAGCATATATGGTGAGCTTCTGAAATGCCTTGCAGTCAAAACGGATGAGAACCACTTGTGTAGACAGTTTTTCTCTCACGCGTAAGATGACACGGATAGCAGTTTTCAGGTTTCACAGAATGATTCTGCTCAGCTTCAGTCAGCTCAGCTTCCTGTCCTATTCCGTGCGGCAGGGGCCAAGGAAGTGGTGAGTTTGTAATTAAACTTTGTTGTCTTATCAATATTTTTTTGCCTGAGAAGAAGCCTTTATAACATTTATAGTAGTTGCAGTGTTTCATTGGCTGTTGGATGTTTCACTAGTGATATTTGTACAGTGAAAGCCATATGGTCAATGGCAGTGCAGATACTGAAAATAACAACTAAAAGTGCTCTAGGTGTTTCCTCCTATGTGATGACAGTTTTTTTTTCAAAACTTTGTCAGGCTTCTTTTTCCAGGTTATGGTAGATAAATAAAAAAGCTCATTAATATTACAATTACTACCTTACCATTGCGGTTTTCATACTCGTAACCATTAAAAAGTGTGCATTGCATTACAACTATGCTTAAAGGAGATTTCTGTCTCAAAAGCTCATTCTCATGATTCATCCTCAAAATGCGCAAGCTTATTTTTTGTAAAGGCAATAGTGCGTGTCTGTAAAATAAGGCTATCTGTGGCCTAGCAGAGCACAGTGCGGAGAAAAACCTTGTGTGCAGACTTGCTTCTCTAGACCTTTTTTTCTAAAGTGACCAAACATTTGACTGTTTGCACAGTCATGCTAGCTTTCAGATACTAAAGGAAGATTGTGCAACATGTCTTGATTGCACTAAAGAACGTTCTTTAACCTGTCATGTTTGTGAACATTGTCGTTTGAGTTTTAAGGGTTTTGAGTTCCGTGTCAACATGCGCCCTAAATGACGTCACACACACTTAAAGAGAATTTCAAAGCGCTACTCGCCAGACCTGTGGTTTCGTTTCACATACTGAATTTTTCAGAAAATTTCCCTTCTACAGACTCCCCAGTTCCTGAGCCGTCTCATACTCGAATACTTTTGGGTTTTTTTTCTTTGCTTGCTTATCTTGTCAGTCTTTTTTACCAAGACCTCCGTCAGCAAATTACTGTTTAACACAAACCTTATGTAATCATAATCATATACTTTTTGCACGAGCTCCATGTGGTCGGTTGCTGTGGTTAGGTTTGCGTCTTAGGCTGTGTTTGTATGTGCTCCTTTTCTCTGTAACCCTTTGATGAATGTTTGCTATTGTACTGTAGGTCCTGTCTATTATCATTGTTGCTTTTTTGTAACAAGTCAACCCTATCATGGCAAAAAATAAATAAAAAAGGAATAGTTTGCCTTAAAATAAGTATTCTGCTACCATTTACTCACCCTCATGCCATTTCAGCTTTCGTTCCTTTGTGAAATGCAAAAGGAAAGCACTTTGAATATTGTGCTGATCACTCTTTTCCATGCAATGGCTATGAATGGGGATTATAGGATGATGACTTCAGAAAACTTATAGCAGAAGAGTCGTATGGACTCTCTTAAAACTAATCTTTGATCACCAAAATGACAAAAATCACCTTCATGCCTTTAAATAGCTTGAATGCAACTCTACATCCATGCTTCATTTAGTATATGTGGAACCATGAATATGCTAATTAGCCCCGCCTCCACTCACACCAGCTGACAGGTTCACTCGGCCAACTTACTGAGGTAAACACTGGACAATGGTATCGCTCTTCACAATGTCGGACACATAACGGTAATTAATATGATAATCCTTTTGCTTGACTATGTTATCAAACAGCTAATAATGTGTTGCTAATGTTACACAAACCATGTTCCCATTCGCCATCTCAGAGTCTGACCGCTGCCTCAGTATCCTTAGAAACGCTTTGAACAACTAAGAACATCGGCGGAGAAAGGTATATAGTTAATAGGGGTGGAACGGTACACCAAAGTCACGGTTCGGTTCATACCTCGGTTCAGACATCACGGTTCGGAACGTTTTCGGTACAATGGAGGGAAAAAGCAAAACAAAAATGCAGAAGGCATTGTATTTTTTAAATAAGTTTTATTAATAAAGGCATAGAACCAGTTTATTTGTAGTGCACTGACAATAGTTTTATATAATTAGTTTATTAATTAAATTAATAAAAAGACAAAAAGACCTTGCGATATGTTTGGTAATTGTACTATTAATTTAAAATTATTTTGCTATATTTCAGATCAATATATTTGTTTTCCTTAATTTTAATTAACATTATTAATTGACAATGTAACATTATTCTCATCTGAATTATAAATAATTGATTTCTGTATAAAATAATACTACCATTAAAAACACATTCGATTTTCTTTTTTAATCAATGTTGAATGTGTAAGATTAGTGCTCCGAGGACGAGAAATGAAAACCAATGCAATATGGCAAATGTCCAAAAGACAGACTGTTTTGAAATGGAGTTGGATAAATATGGTTTGCTTTTAAAACAGTGTGTATGTGATTTTGGTTGGGTGACAGTTGTAGGTTACAGTTTGACAAGAGTTTACAGTGTGACAAAAGCACAATGTTGTGTTTTATTGCGAGTGTACACAAATATAAGTAAACACTTTGCAGGTTTAATGATCTGTATAAACAAAATGACTCACTCTCTCTCTCTCTCTCTCTCTCTCTCTCTCTCTCTCTCTCTCTCTCTCTCTCTCTCTCTCTCTCTCTCTCTCTCTCTCTCTCTCTCTCTCTCTCTCTCTCTCTT